TGCGCTGGGTTCGAACTACAAAATTCAATTCTCGGCACCAGATTACCCGCAGTGAATTTAGACTGAAACAGTTGAAAGAAAATATGGAGGAATATAATCATGCTCAAGTGCGTCTGGAAGAATGTCAACTGAATTCTTTGTGGAGGTAGGAGGAGATGTATTGGTTTCAAAAATCACGGATTGACTGGCTGAGGTTGGGGGATCGTAATTCGAAAATTTTTCATGCCTCAACTGCTCGTCGACAAAAGCGAAATCATATCTCTGGGGTTGAAGATTCTACTGGTCGATGGATTGAGGAGGAGGCGCAAATTCAAGATATATTTCTTGGTTACTTCCAAGATCTGTCCCATACGAATACACCGGTGGGAATTGATCATTTTCTCAGGCATATCCCATCTCATGTTTCTTCGGACATGAATCAGACCTTAATTCAACAACCTTCTGAAGATGCAATTCGTCGGTCGCTTTTTGACATGCAACCCTGCAAAGCCCCAGGTCCGGATGGTATGACCCTTTTGTTCTACCAGCACTATTGGTATATTATTAAGACGGAGGTCATTGATGTGGTACGTAATTTCATGCATTCTGGCCATTTATTATCTAGTATGAATCATACCAACATTGTTCTTATTCCTAAAATTGAGTCTCCCACTTCCGTGTCTCATTATCGACCTATCTCATTGTACAATATTGTCTATCGTATTGTTGCTAAGGTGCTTGCTAATAGACTACGACAAACCATCCCCTTAATGGTTAATGAGTCCCAAAGTGCTTTTGTTCCGGGACGTCACATCACTGATAATATACTTATTACTCATGAAATATTCCATTATCTTAAAAATAAACGTTCAGGGCAGAAGGCGTTTATGGCCTTAAAGCTAGATATGAGTAAGGCTTATGATATAATTGAATAAAAAATTTTATTGGCAATGCTTTCGAAATTGGGGTTTCATACGCATTGGATTCGTCTCATCCATGCATGTATCTCTATGGTCTCATATTCGGTTCTGCTTAATGGTAGACCTGTTGGTATGTTTCGACCTATGAGGGGGCTCAGACAAGGGGACCCTTTATCCCCGTGTTTATTTATTTTGTGTGCTGAAGCTTTATCTATGTCTTTACAGATTGCTCTTTAGCATCGTGTTATATCTGGGATCCGTATATGTCCCCAGGCGCCTTATGTTTCACATTTGTTTTTTGCAGATGATTCTATTATTTTCTGTCAGGATTCTATTTTTGAGATTGCAGTTCTGCCACAGTTATTAAAGCAGTATGAACAGGCATCCGGACAACAGATTAATTTTTTTAAATCCTCCATTTTCTTCTCTACCAATACTAGTGTTGAGGATCGTGTTCGTCTAAGTCAGCTGCTGGGAATTCAAGAGGAAGGATTGTGTGCCAAATATCTGGGTATGACAGCAATTATCGACCATTCTAAATGGGATGTCTTTCATTACATTTCGGATCACATTGCTAGCTGAATGGCGAACTGAAAATCTCTACTTCTATCCCCTGCAGGTAAGGAAACTTTAATTAAAGTAGTTTTAAATGCCTTACCCACCTATCTGATGTCTTATTTTCAGTTACCCCGTAAGCTCTGTGAGTCAATGAGGAAGATTATTTGGGGGTTTTGGTGTGGTTCTGATGCAGAATCTGTTAAAATTTAGTTGGGTTAAATGGAATGTTTTATGCAATGCAAAGGAGGAAGGAAGGATTAGGATTTCGCAATTTGGAGGCATATAATGTTGCTTTTGTGGTGAAACAAGGGTGGAATTTTCAAGTTTCTCAATAGGGATTGGCCTTTAAACTTTTTAAAGCTAAATACTTTTGGAATTGTTCCTTTCTGGATGTGCCATTGGGATCTAATCCTTCTTGGGCTTGGCGAAGTATTTGGTCTGCCCAATCTCTCTTGAAAAAGGATTAGGATTTCGCAATTTGGAGGCATATAATGTTGCTTTTGTGGTGAAACAAGGGTGGAATTTTCAAGTTTCTCAATAGGGATTGGCCTTTAAACTTTTTAAAGCTAAATACTTTTGGAATTGTTCCTTTCTGGATGTGCCATTGGGATCTAATCCTTCTTGGGCTTGGCGAAGTATTTGGTCTGCCCAATCTCTCTTGAAAACTGTGCCCGATGGGTGGTGGGTAATGGTCGCTCTATTAATATATAGACGGATTGTTGGGTGCCGGGTCTCTCTGGTACATTGTCTAGGCCTTCTTTTAGGGAGACTCCGTTTTTGGTGCATGAGCTTTTTAATTCCTCTGGTACTAGATGGAATGTGGAGTTGCTTCATTTTTTATTTCCACTATCCATTGTGACTAATATTCTGGCTTGTAGTTTCAGTTTTTGCTTTAAAGAGGATGCGTTGGTTTGGGGTAAGGAGTCTAATGGTTAATTCTCTGTTAAATCTGCCTATCGTTTGGCTAACCGCATGACAAGATTTCCTGTTTCCTTTTCGTTCGACAATTCTCCAGTTGATTCTACTCATATTAATGGATGGTGCCGTCTGTGGCAATGTATCGTTCCCCCCAAAATCCAACATTTTTTGTGGAAATGTTGTCAATATGCTCTTCCGGTGTGTAGTCTTCTCCAGTTGCATGGTATGAAGGTGGAGCTTGTGTGTCCTCGGTGTGGTATGGGTGAGGAATCCATTGAGCATTTGTTGTTTCAGTGCCCTCAATCTGTTCATGTTTGGAAATTATTGCCGTTGCAATTGGATTTTATGTCTAACCCTCCAGGGTCTTTTAAGGAATGGTGGATGCACTTGTTAACCCAATTGGGGTGGGGGATTGATAACCAGAATTCGCTTTGTTGGATAACTTGGATAGCTTTTTGTTGCTGGGGTATTTGGAAAGCACGTAATAGGTTTCTTTTTGAAGGTGAGTTGTTCTCTCCTTTACGCATAGTTTCCTGGGTTTCTTCTAAATTTTGGGAATTTAAGGACTGCATTGCCTCTTCTGCCCAGTCTTTGGCGTCTTATTCGGGGGGAGATGCTTCCAATATGCCCGTTCCTTCGTCCTCTTCCCATTGGTTGCCCCCTCCTGTGTATATGGTTAAATGTAATGTGGATGCATCGTTTTCCTTGTCGAACTGGGTTGGTGGTGGAATGGCTGTTTTTCGAAATTCCCAGGGTCAGACTATGCAATCGGTGGTTTTTTCTCCTTTTAGTTCGTCTTCTACTTCCTAGGCCGAGCCTATCTCTCTTCGTAAAGTAGTCTTGTGGGCTATATCTCAGTCTTATAAGGTTTGGTTTGAATGTGATATTTCAAGTGTTGTTTGATGTTCTCTTCAATCTCTCTTACATTTCTTTCCTTGGATTATCCATCTTTAATTCATGCTGAACAGAACATCAAACACTAAGCACCTTACATGAGGATGACAGTGATGATCAAATATCTACATCTTAATCTTAGTGAAAGTGTGATATAATTGAAAATATAAATATATGCCTGCATTGTACCGCATGAAAGAGACATTGTGGGGAAAACGAAAAAAAAAAAAAAAAAATCAATGTAGCAGTCACAATCTGAAATCTTGTTGGCATCCATGAAATTTCAATTATTGGATGGTCTTACAGAAAGAAAAGACAAAAATATAACAGTCTGGTATACTGTCTATAGTTTTAACTTAAAGAAGTCCGAATACGAATACAACATGATTTGGGTATGATGGTGTGGTAAATCTTAAAAAAATAAAATATGGTAATAGAATTCTTGGTCAATTTTTTAAAAAATATTATGAATTTAAATGCAACCATTAAAATAATATAGAAATTCTTTTCACATTACATAAAACAAGTATTCCTAATTATCAGTTAATAAAATTTAAACTTTTCTCAACAATTATACTATGTTATTATTGTTGGAAAAGTTGCATTTTAATGTTTAAACTTGTTAAAATTGTGTTATAAAGTGTCTGAGAAGTATCGGATACGCAATCGAAATACATGAAAAGTATCGGATATGTGTTAAAAATTAAAAATTATATTTTAAATTTATGAATACATTTTAAGAAATATCGAACACATATTCACTAGTATCCATGGAGTATCGGTATTCAATACCGGTACATTGCACTCCTAGAAATATTGTGCTTCCTAATTTCAACTAAAGATTTGTTTTTTGTTTTTTCTGGTTTTTTGAAACTTGTTTTTTGTTAGGAGCTCAAATAATGGTTTGTGATGATCATATTCTGAATGAAGATGACATGATGAGATTAGCTATTCAGAGTTTACATTATGGGCATCCTTTTCATTCTAAGCTGATATAACTGGTTCTACCAACACAAACTACATGATTTTGATCATAACAAACAGCTGTGAAAACAGCAGAGTATTAGAAAGAAGAATTGAGCATAGGTAATCCATCTTTTTTGTCACATTTTCTTACCTGTAAACACATAGATTGATTTGCTTGTATCTGTAAGTGAGAAAATGCATAAGAAAAATCGATCCATTACGCGTAGCAGCATTTATATTGACAAAGGATAAAAAGTGAAGTATCATTTTTGCCACAAGAGGATCAGATGCATGCACTGGCAGGTGATATTCTCTGCCGGTACAGACACAGCAGTAGTAGCTCAACAACCAAGTGGACAATGGGAGAACTGATACAAACTCCAGAATGCGCGGCTATTTTACCTTTAAGCGCGTGTTAAAGAAACTCTAAGGCTGCATCCTCCGGGCACCATTGATGCTTCCTCACCGTGCACTTCACTCATGCAGAGTGAAGAGTTGGGATGATCCATTAAAATTTTAAATTGGAGAGATTCCTGGGCTAGACTTTGAACTTCAGAAGGAATGATTTTTAATTATGCAACATCAAACTTGATAGCAAAGAAATTCATCACTGAGCACAGAGGAAACATTTCATATGTATTTTGATCCAACTTTCCCACTACATTGTTCAAACAAATAATAATCCTTCAACAAAAGAATACGTAATTAAAATGAGAGAACTGAGAAAGAGTTTCATAATTCATAATCAAAGAACTATAACACAATTTCATATCCAACTTTCAACTACATTTTTCAAAATTACAATAATCTTTCAACAAGAGAAACATGACTGAAATAATGGAACTAAAAGTTCAAAATACATAAAGAATCAAAGAATAAGAACAAATTGACTCCAAAAGAATTAAACTGAAATCTAGAAACCTGGCCTGAGAAGACTGAAACCTATTCCAATCTAATGTATTCAAGGAACTGGTTCTTGCACTACTGGACAGCAAATCTTATCTGCAACAAAAGAATGAAAGAATAGTGACAGATTTCTCTACCTACAAAGAATTCGGTATCCTTTTTCTATATGCTGAGTATGGAATGAAAATGGCAGTATGTATGTATGAATAAGAAGGAGAAGAAAAAAGCCTTGCAATCAACTTCGAGAGTAAGATGAGGAGCTGCCTGCAACACAGACAGGTGCCCATGCTGAGATGGTGAAAAGAGGCTGATCTAGCCAACTTAGCGTGAGTCCAGCTCCATCTTGTCCTTGCTTTTCGACGCTATACTTTTCACAGGAGTACATCTTCAACAGCATTTGGCTCTGAAGCAGTTCTCTCTCACTAATTCCCATGCATTTGAATCCTCCTTGCTCGATCAGCTTCCTCCACTTCCCAAAACTCTCGTGCCTTTCAAGCCTGTCTCTTCCCTCGCAGGCAATAATGTTCCTAATTTCACAGGCAAACATCTCCTCTATTTTGATCCTTGCTGGGCTGTCTAATGGAAGGCCAGAGTCAATAGAATCGAAAATGGCAGCATAATATTTCAGTGAATTGGAAAGTCTCATCTCCAAACTGAGGTCACTGTGATCGGCTTCTTGCTCTGCCATAATAACAACTGTGGGGTTTGTGCTTTGAATTAGACCTAAAAAGTCCCTAAGCACTCCTTTAGTATCATCATATAGCATCTTGTGCAGTTGGAACATACAATTCACAGCCACGCACTCTCTCTCCTTAACATGAAGCATCCACAGCCTCACATCTTCCAACCTGTCAACAACTGGATGGAAATCGAAAGGCAAGCCCAATGCCTCCGCAAATCCAGCTAGTCTATCTCCTGTTTCGATAAGCTCTTGTTTGCATTCGCCTATACCGGTGATTCTAACATGGCTAGGAGGATTAGACCTAGAAGCCAAACTCTGAAACAAACTAGGCCATTGAAGCCCTTGCTTGATGTCGAAATCAATAATGTGAACCCTGTCCTTTCCTTCAAAAGCCCTCAACAGGATCTCATTTGATGTGAAATGAGTGAACTTTGGAATTGGGCTCACCTGGTTCAAAAGCCTCAATGCAGAACCACTATCCTCATCGACCCGATCAGGCTCCCGAGGGGTAGTGAAATGAAAAATGTGAGGCCAAAGCCTTGAAACTCTCAGAGCTAAAGCTTCGGTGAAATAAGCAGCAAGTCGGCTTATAGTGGATCCTCTTGGAGAAGCAAGATCACCCAATTTAGCAATAAAATGGTTAATACCTGCAATGTTCTTGGAGCAGATGGCTTCAACACAGGCCATGAGCAAGCTAATGAGCTCAAAGTCATCATGCTCTCCATGGTTACCATTGTCACCTTCCACCACCTCAGCAACTTCATTTGGGTTGGGTGGCCTAGACACATTACCTGTTTCATGCTCTGAGGTGTCCTCATTTAGATTAAGAGCTAAGCTATGGCTTTCCGACGAAGTACTCGATCCAGATGCTTCCTTCACAGGCCTGTGGCTCGTCTCAACATTCTTTTCACCCAAGTCCGTAATCTGAGTTACGACAGATTCCACCCAAGCATTGTTTGACAAAGGCAAAGGCCGAGAAAACACGTCACTAGGCACAAAACAAACTCTCTCTTCCTCTCCTGAACATGATATAGAGTGAGGCACCTCAAAACTCGGATGAAACCAAAAATTCCCACTACCCAATTGGCGAAAATTCACATTATCGCCACCTTCTGGATAATCATCAGATTTTCCACTACCCCTTTTCCTCTTGGCTCTGTTCATGCAGGGCTCTTCATCATATGAACCGTGCTCAGCCTCAGCTAGCCTCTTCAAGCTCTTACCTTTGTCCCACAATTCATTTCTACTCTCTCTCCTACCTTCGGTAAAGGGGGCCTGATCAGCAGTGGTAGCCAAAGGCGGGAGTCGAATGTTCTGCTTAAGAGAACAGCTACTAGTCTTGGCTTCAATTGGCTTCTCAACCGAAAGGCTCACCGGCCTAATGGGTTGAGACCTCGAGGTGTCTTTTGCGGCATAACTACATGGCAAGTCCAATCTCTGTGTGCTCATTGAAGGGAAATGACAAGCTTGAAACTGTGCAGATGCTTCACTCCTTAATCTATGCCTGGGTGACAACAATGTAGAAGAACACCCAGCCAACATTCTCTACAATTTTCAATTCTCTTTCTCGATCTTTTCAATTCAAAAGTTCACTCACCCTTTTTTCTCTCTATGTTTCTTTCTCTCTCTCTTTGCTTCTATAATTTTCATACTATGCAAATGCAATCTGTGTTTAATTTGTATAAACTATTTGAAATGAGATGAAAATTTGCATGTAAACTTGTCAATATATGGAAATCAAGAGACAAACTATGTGAATTTCTGAAGTTTAACAAATCAAAAACCAACAAAGAATAGGAATCCGATGCCGAAATAAAGCAAAGAAAATCACTAAAATATTTTCACGAATTTGAGTTTTCCTATATGGAGGTATAGTTTTTACAATGAAATCAACAAATTCCCACCAATAAAGAATCAAAGAATTGAGTAAAAAATTAGATTAAACTTACCAGAAAATGATCATCGGATTCCAAAACAATCAGGGAAAAATCATTGGAAAAAGCTGTGACAAGTGAAGTGATTGAAATCCACACCATGCATGAAACTCCAGACACACACTTGGTAGCTGAAATTCTGAGAAATTGAGAGACCCAGATCAACAATTGAGGAATCTGACAAGTCCACCATAGCTGATTCTGAATCTAAACCAAAACCCAGAATTCAAACCCTTCAAATTAACATGCATGAAACAATTGATCAACAATGAAAAACGAAAACACTTCCTATCACTACCCAAAAAGCCAGACACCATGCAGGACTTAGTGTTTTTATACAAGTTAAGCTTTGTGGATTTTCCCAGCACTGAAAAAATGACGAGGGTGTTCCGAGAAATCTTTGGGAATTTTCTATTCGTGGCCGTTTGATGAGGATCTGACGGTCGGAAATTGAGGGTTTCACATGACCGTTGGAGGGTTGTCGGAGAAATATGACCGTTGGGGGTAGTTGATTCCTGGCGTGTTGGAGGCACGTAGGATGCACGTGCTTGTCTCCTGATATTCGTTCACTGACCGTTGGTGTACATCATTATTTCCTTTTGTTAATAAACCTCGAGAACACGTGGCATATAGTCTGGGCATGGCCTTTCAGTCCGGCTCACTTTGGTTGTGCCACGTTATGATAAGAGGGACCTTCTGGTCAAGGGAAAGTCTTTGAATGACTGAACTACCCTCCACTTCTCAATGTGGGCCATATCCGTATGACCATGTGGTGGGTCATCCAAACGGGCTTAGGGCCTCAGGCCCAGACATGCTCGAGAGGTGTTCCCTTACAGAGGGTTTTCTAATTGAATCATAGTATCAATTTAAAAGAAAAGGCAGTATGCTTTTTTAATATGAAAAGGTGCCACATTATTGCTTATGAAATAGATTTTGTTTAATGATTCTAAGTAAATTATGTTTTTCTTTTTTCTTTAGTGGGTCAGTGTTTAATAACTTATTGGATTGTCACGCTATAAATTAATCGCCATTAGCATATATATCATTCTATAATTTTGAGAATTGAAAACTCCGTTAAAACACACACACACTCCTCTTGCAAAAGTTATTTTGTTAAAAAGCATGTTTAAGAACTACGAGAAAAAGTCAAAGTCAATCTTGCATGTTGATTTTTTCTTTTCTTTTTTTTTTTTTTTCCTTTTTTTTTTTTTTGGATAAATTAGAATTTTTCTTAGAACTCCATAAAATTCAGTTTGTTTCAGCCTAAAATATTTTACAGCTTAAGATATACTCCAGGTAATGAAAATACTATTACCAATTGTTATCTTCTAGTGTTTGGTTGAAGCCCTAAAAGTAAATTAGTACCTCTTAAAGCATGCACATTAAGTGCTTATATAAAAATGCTGACATATATACATACATTTAAATGCATATACACTATTTTTTTTTTTGAATATACAAGTTTTAAAAATACAACCAAAAAACAAAAGTCATTTTTGAAATTGGCAAGCTTCTCTCATTTTTCTTCACAATCAACCGAATACTAACATGACAAAAAGGCTTCTTTACGACCATAGATATCAACTCATTTTCTCTTTCAGGTTCGAAAAATCTAGACCCATTTCCTTTTAGAACCCACAAGTTCACAACCAAATGCTATGTTTCTTTGGATTCAGAATTCGGTGCTACCAAATATAGCATAATGGTACTTCAGCTTCACACACAAATTCACTTGAAGCTGGTTCATACAGCCAAGTATAGCATGGCATCAAGAGCTAGAAAGGAAGGTACAGTTAGGAATTTTGATTCTGGTCTCATCAATTAGAAAATAGAAAGACACAAAACCCTCTCACTTATCTCAAGTCCAAGTTAAAATCTAGTCTATTACTGATTCTTCATATAAAAAAACAAATTCATTCCCCACATGCCACCAAAACACAAATGAAAACATATATTGTGGTAAGGTAAGTCTACCCTTCTGGTCAGATCAACACTGTTGCCATCAAATTCCAATCAAATATATCACCAAACCGACATAAAATCCCACATCCCATGGTATCATTTTAACTACATCTTTTGAGAAAGAAATTCAACTTTACAAGGGTTGGGCTAAATCAATTCCAGATACAAGGCTTCCTGCTTGCTGGTCAAGCCTAGTTCATTAAGAGTTAGAGCACTCTCTCCGTCACTAAAAGCACGTCGAGGGTATGGCCTCACCTGCCCAATATATAAAAATAAGATCAATCAGGTAAAATTATCAAGGAAATTGTCAACATCTTTCATTTATTCCGACCCATTGTTTTAGACGTGTCCGGCATGAACTTATCTTTGTCTATCCAAAATTGCTGAGGTTGACTAAAAGGAGAAAGTATACAATACACCAAGGGCATTTACACATGGTACCCTGCACTAATGGACAGTCATCAAAGCTTTCAATCTGTCATGATAATGGACAAATAGAAAATTTTCAAGGAAAAGCATGGCTGTGTATTGGTTGGGGGCACCACATAGGAGATACCCCCGGGGTACTATATACTTTCTCGACTAACAGACTTCAAACTACAGTAAAGAAAACCAAGGTACTTGTCCTAACCAATGTATAACAATAACCAATACATGAGGTTGACCAACAAAGTTCAAAATTATAGCACAGGCACACGTCAAGAAAGTACATGACCATGGTAGATTTCGTAAAGAGATATGAAGGAACCCCCATTTCTAAATTTCCAATGGATTTTAAAGTGTGTTAAATATGGTTTAGTCAACATAACAAAATAATTTGAGACTATATGAAAGTAAAATGCATCATGACGCACTCTTGTGAATGTCGAAAATATACTTGGTCCATTCAAATTGGGACTGTCCAATCATCCATAATTGTTTAGTCAAAACAAGAATTCATTTAATTGAACTGGTCTAATTTTGTTTGTTTACCGAGGGGCATGATGTAATTCAGTGAACATCGTCTTCTCTAAGAGCAATTACTTTTCTCTTCTATGTACCAGTTTCAAACCTTGGCCTGTGGTTTAAGGTTTTAGTCAAAGGCTCATGAATTTTTGAAAATAGATTTGAAAAAAAAAAAACTTCTGGAGACTGTTCGCACCAGTTCTCTAAAAACTGTTTTTAGAGAAACTTAGAACTATAAAAGACTTTTTCAAAAACAAGCCCTTTTTATACTAAACAGTTTTTAGAAATTGTCGGCCAAAAATCTTCATATTGTGTTCTTAGTTCCTCTAAAAGAAGAAAAAAGGGAAGAAGGAAAAAAATACAGAGAGAGAGAGGTCTTCAGAAAAGTGAAACAGGCAAGCCATTCATTTTTATTATACAGAATAGCTTGATTGAAATGCTACCAGGACTTCTTACCAAGTTTATACAGTCAACAAGCCTATTGATCTAGCAAGGCCAAGTCTCCTGATTTTTGTCGACTGGTAGTTTTAGTATTATTTCTTCCATGCCAAAATCAAAGCACCAAAATCCATTTTGCAAGTCACCCAAAAGCTGATTTAGTGTTCCATATGTTTTTCGAACAATTACTTAAGTGTAGAGAAGAAGAATTACCAATCTGTACGTCCCAGGCTTGACGACTCTACCAACATCAATGAAATCAAAAAGGGACTGCATTGCAAACCACAATCAAGCTAAGCCATGAGCATGTGCTAAGGAAGTGGCTACTTAATTAATGCAACTCACAGACTCTCATAAACTATACCTGTAGCTTGTCAGATTTAAGAAATCGGCGTCCACGGCGGCTACCATCTGGCATTCGCACTAGAAGAGTTACAGCATTCTCGTCATCCGATGTTGGTTCCAGAGGAAGAGAAGCTTCTTTTGCCGCTAGTTGTCTCTCAACCTCCTGCAGTAGAAATTAATTATCAGGAATGCAAGATTTGCACCCAAGAATCTTGCAAAAAGAGAGTGGATGATGTACAAGTTCCATTCCAAGGACAAGCATAAAATAATGAACTAGAGAGATTAAAGCATCTTCATAGGCCTGATGTAATACTGATTACTGATATAGAATGCTTGATGAATAACTAAATAACACAGGCGTAGCTGAAACAAAGCCTTAGGCCTGATCAGAAATTTTGCTTCCAGAAGTCTTTTCCGTTGCATCTTTTACAAGGGTCAAGAGATCCCACGCTAAAAGCTTAATTTGAACAGCCCACCTGTCTTGTGCCACTAAACGTCCACCTTGATCAATGCAGTGTAGCCATAAATTTACAACACAAATTCTAAAAATCAACGCAGGCAACTAATCCTAATGAAATTTCCATATTAATATGAAACTTTCAAAGCTTGGACATGGATGTGGACAGAGACACGACATGACATGGTCATACTCATGTGGAGAAACCTAAAAGAGCAACGCAGACACAGCCAGAATACAAAATAGTTCTTGTATATAAAAATTATATGGAGATGGGAATCACGATAGAGAGGCTATCCTAAACCACACAGTTTCCAATGATCTTACAATAGGCATTATCTATTTTATAACAATTAGAGAACTAAAAATTAAAGGTGAACCAGTTTGATTTTTTCCAAACTAAAAAGTGAAATGTCTAAAATGTAAAGAATGTAAGGTTATTTTAAGAGAGAACTTAAACCAAACTGTAAAGACGGTTTTGCACATATTTATATATTAGAGGACAAACACAAACAGTACAGAAAAAAGAGATCGAAAATTCTAAAATAGACAGTGGAATCTAAAAAGGGATATATGATAAACAAAAGCTTGAAGAGGAACTCTTAAGAGAGTTCATGTAAATAGGAGAAAAAAATAATTATATGGAATATAAAGTTAAAAAGGGAATGGAAGTGGGAAAATAATAATGAAAAAGTGAAATGTCTTACATGTAAAGATTGGAAGGTAATTTTAGGAAAGAACTTAAATCAAACTGTAAAGACGGTTTTACATATATATATATATATATATTAGAGGACAATCACAAACAATACAGAAAAAAGAGAGAAAATTCTGAAATAGATAGTGGAATCTAAAAAGGGGAATATGCTAACTAAAGCTTGGAGAGGAATTCTAAAATTAAGAGAGTTCTTGTAAATAAGAGTAAAAATAAATATATGGAATATAAAGTTAAAAATAAAAAAAATAAAAAAAAAAGGGAATAGAAGTGGGAATATACCAAAAAAACAAGAGATAAGAAAAAAAATCTAAGATTTGTATCCACATGTATCAGTAGAAATGTATATGTGCATATACACATGAAACTATGATGACTCCATTTCTCGTCCTTAAGTTTACACTCTTAGATATAACCATTTTGTCTTGAACTTTTGTTTTCAAATATTGCTAAAAGTTTTTTTTTTTTTTTTTGATAAGTAAAATGTATTAGAAAGCGTTCAGAAGGGGAACGCGTCCCAAGCTATACACAAAAATGGAACCTATGAACTCAAAGAGCCCAAGAAGTCCACAATATCCTCAAAAGAAGAAAAATCTCTCCCCCAACCCCAACAAAAAAGGTTACAAATAATAGAAAATTTCAGCGCTCCAATAGGGGATTCCTTTCCATCAAAAGATCTACTAACCATTATGCAAACCTTTAATTTGATTTATGCTAACCATTACTGTTCTCTCTTTTTTCTTTCCTAGGCAAAACATAAAATTGAATCTCAACAAGTGCAAAATTCCTCGCTCATATGTTAGGAAGAATCCAATAGGTAATGGCCATGTGTCCAAAACTAAAGATTTTTATTCTTAATCATGAACACACTTAAGATTTCAGACATGTTTGCTTGAAAATGTTTGTCTCCAATGCAAAACTCCTTAGAAGCGTATATCCTTCTTATCATATGAAGGATCCAAAGTTTTCATTCTCTGCAATATTTTCCTAACTATATCAAATGCTCGATTAGAGTAGGTATAAGAGCTACTTGCTGCTAAAAAGAATGGATATGCAATCAAAAATAATTTTCTGATTACCAAAGTCATGCTTCAGTTTTGGGCATAGTTCTCCGTATCAGCGGAGTCTGACCGAATCTAAGTTCATCACTCACTGATATGAGAACTGGAATCACACAAGACTTGATTGAGTCCCTAAGGAATCCATCAGAATCTCGACCAAATCCAAGATAATCAGCCGAGTCATCACATCTAGTAGTGTGCAAGGTAAAAAGAAAATTCATAACCGCAATAGTCAATTCCATTACGTCATGTTCATTATGGCCATCTCCGCGTCTGCATCATCAGACAATGGTTGAGGAACGTGAATAGTGAATTGACACACCAATAGCTTGTTTGCTTAAAGGTTTTTTACATGAAGAAGCAAAGTTGTGAAGCCCAACTGTCGTTTAGAAAGAGGCCTCTGCATGGAAATGACTTTTTAACACAACTCGAACCCAACACGAAATTAGTGAATTTGGATTAACCTTAATCGGTGTCAACCCAATTAACTCATTTTATTAACTGCGGCGTGTTCCGGTTTGGCACATCAACCTGTTTCACCTGATTTGACCCGTTTAACTAATTGTCGTAACCGCGTCAAATCAACTTGAATCGACCAATGACCTGCTTTAACATGTATAATAATATATTTAAAGTGGTGATAATTGTGTAATTTATTAAAATAAACTGAAAATTTTAGTCCTTCCATAATTCTTAATTTAATATTTAATTCTTTTTTTCTTTCTTTCATATTTCCATTTTATAATTAAGAACAAAGTATTAAGTATATTGTTAAATGGGTTGTGTCATGTTACAGGTAATACGACCCCTTTATTAAATAGGATGCACACGTTACCTTTTTAATAAAGGGGTCATGCCTATGTCAAGATTTTTTTATCCTATTTAATAGAATTTTCTAACTTTGACACGACACAGATACAACCAGTTATCACAAATTACCACCCAGAGTGGTTATGTTTGCAAGAAGCACAGGCTTGAATGTATAAAGAAATCAACAGCTTAAAATGGCGTCTTTGATAATTATTCAGCCATTTAAATACAGCATGGTTTTCCATAAAATTAAATTCTGAAGGGAAAAAATCATTCACAACATTGCACATTGAAAACAGAAATATAATTATTTTAAAAAATGAGCATTACATATATGAAATACCAAAAGATTCAAATACAAAATTGAAATGAAGAGAACAATCTAACCAACATGATTGATATACATATGGTTTTCAATTTTTTTAGAACGTTTACTTGTATTCTTTTAATGAAAATTTTGGTGAGGAATGCTATTTTGCATTTACAGCGAGGCTACAGCAACATTCTTACTAAAGTTGCACATAAAAATGCACAAGAAACTGCTATCGTGCATCCAAAAATATAAACAGTATAATTTTAAAATGTACATCACACAAAAATGAATGAAAGCACACCGCAATATAATAAGTATGCCGTAACTATGTTCGGTCTTTAGCACTTATCAAAAAAAAAAAAAGGCACTATGTTCAGTCTTTAACAAGGTTTTAAAATGCGGTTATGGCTGCCGATACCTGATGCAATCACAATGACGGTGTCACAATCTCAGGCTATTACAGGGTTAAGTAAAAAGTATTAACGGTCGAGGTCATTATTTTTTAAAAAAAATTAAGAAACATGATCAAAACGATCAGTAAGAATACTCAACAACATAAAGAAACCCATGATAATCATTTCCAAAATTTTGAATTATTTCTGAAAATAAGAAATGGCCCCAGCTAGTAAAATTGCCAATGTCAGCCAATTCAGTTGACTAATGAACTCGGTACAATAAGGTGAATTGAACTTTTATCACAAATAATAAAATTCAATTAAAAACATAATTCTCACCTAATCTAACTAAAGGCAAAGGTTTTAGAAAAATATTAGGAAAAAGGAGGCAATAAGAATAGTATAAAGAGAGCGAAGAACTACAATTTATACATTTAATATGACTATACCTAAATGTTTCTAATACAAAACGCCTCATCAAATTTGCTAGTCTCACTAGAAAAACACGGAGAGAATATAGAACTATCTTCAATTTTGTTCCTTTTTTTGGTTTAATCCATGACTACTTTTATTGTCAGATGTTTATTCAAGTACACATTTCAGCAGGGAAAGGAAGATGCATAAGTAGATCCACATCAATATTGACAAGCCTATTTCATTACCTGTTCCTCCTCCAATTTTTTACGTATCTCTTCCTCCTTTCGCCTTTCTTCCTCGAGAGCAGCTTCTCTAGCTGCTTGTTCTTCTAAGCGACGAGCTTCAGCTTCTTCAATAGCCTTCAATTCTTTTTCTCTGTCAGCTTGCAGTGATGCAAGATACTCATCATCCTGCATCAATTCCATAAAAGTTAGAATCAATGAAGACTACAACAATTTAATCATAATTGCTGACTCGTAATTCAAACCTGTTGTTCCCGTATCAGGCGCTGGGCTGTGAGGGTTGGTGATGGGGGGCGAGGCATCCTCCGGGGGTAAGGGCCTATGGCTCTATCAACACCATTCTCCATCAGCTGATGAGGAGCATATGGAAAACCATATCCACTCCCTTCAGGAATTCCACCAAAGAGTGCAGCCTCAAGCATGACTGCTTCATCATGTTCCACTGACGATATACCTCCCCACTTCCAAATCAACAAGTATCAAATATTAAAGATGATTCATGTTTTAGAACACTTGACTAACGTGATAACATAGATGCAATTTAATAAAATTACTCTTGAGGTATTCATAGTAAGAACTTCTACAGCAAAAGGAAGATACCTCATCGGAAGGAAAGTCATCTCCAATGTGCGATGGACGACTGACGGTATTTTGCTGTCCAGGACTTGATGGTGGACTAACCTCAACTTCTCCAATTTCTCTGGCGGATTCCACTGAGCCAGAAGACATACGTCTACTCCTGTGCCTAATTAATGGCTGCTCTTCAACATCTTCTGCTTCAGCCTGAATGGATGAGTTTCCTACTTCCAACCTAGATTGCCTTAAGAGAACCCTTGTCAGGAGAACCACATTCTTGCCTCCACCAGTGAATACACAAACACATGCATCCAAATACAAAATTCCACACACCCCCCCACACCTACCCCCCCCCCCCCCCCCAAAACCAAAATAATAATAATAAAGATGAAAGTGTCAAAGTATCATGCAGCAGTACAAGACATATACCTTCCATTTGATGGTGATAATTTTCCCGGTTCTCCCACCTCAGCAGACTTATAGGCTTCCGATTCTGATGCTCCAACTTTTCCCCCCATCTCACGCAATGCTTTCTCTTGCTCTGCTGTCTGAACTCATTTCATATTAGATGGGAGCAAAAGATGACAATATAAGAAAATCAGTAAATAATAGAACCACAAACCTTAAATAATAGAACCACAAACCTTCAATGACAATGAAACTGCTTCTGCAAGTTCAGCATCATCTAGGTGAGATCGCCTCTGTCCGGGAACAGGATCACTTGAACCTACAGGATCACTTGAACCCTACATCAAGATGCAAATGAATCAATTTTTAGGACCAACCACGGGAAAAGGAAGAAGTGCACTCAGAAAAGAAAAATTGCTTTACATACATTATGAGCACCGAACTGTTGATCTGTATAATCTTTTCCAGCATCCCTTTTCGAAGCCTCTATGGCAGCTCGAACCATTTCTTCTTCTATTTCATTGTTGTAGTCAGGTAAATCATCGATTCCAAGGACACTTGGCCTCGAATCCAAGCCATAAGAATTAGCAGCCATTACATTTTCATTCTGTCCAGCAGCAAGTGCAGTTGGAGAAGTGGGAATATCTTCCTGATCGTCGTCATCAATTATAACAGTCCCCTGGATTTCTGGGCCATGTATGTGTGCATTTCCCGTGACATCTTCAATGGCAGGAGCAAGGCCAGAAGATCGCTCATTCCCATCCTTGACCTCAATGGGGATCTCCCTAACTTCTCTTGGATGTGAAACAACCGGTGCACGACTTGTAAAATTGGGAACTCTATCGAACAGACTTCTACTGAAGTTAGGATCAAGGAGAGAGAACTGATTTATATCTCTGGCAGTAGATGGAAGTGAGAAAGGAGGTCTGCTAGATTCAACTTGAATTGGATCATCAATATCCATGATATCACTCTGAGGAGCAGGAGCAGCAGGAGCAGATGCTTCATGCATGCTGAAGACCAAAAAACAAACATGACACCAATGTTAGATAAAGAATCACGAAAGCTTTTATTGCCAATTCGGAATAAAAATAAAGCAGTAAAGAAGAAGAGGAGCAAGAACATGAATAAGAAGGCACTGACATATTTCTATCTCCTTCATTGAAATGTGCATTAACAGCCGTATTGAGATCGCCGCCATGCTCCTATTTGCCACGAAAAACATGACTGATCAAACTGGAGATGAAAAAACTACGGAAAATGATTTTAAAAGGGGAAAAAAATAGTACTTATAAAAAAAAGGGGGGGGGGGGGGGGGAATAGTAAAAGTAAAAGTAAAGCTGCTCGGTTGCAGCCCTAAATAGTCAAAACCTGAAACAAAGGCATCCTCAAATCCAACACATTCAGTATCTATACTAATTCTGTAACTCAAGAAGAGACAACAAAATTTGTTCATCATATAATGAGTAGTTTGAAGATCCTAGAACACACTGCTGAAACTTCTTTCTTTCGTGGTCATGAAATTTCTAACCTATTTAGTCTCAAAAAAAAAAAAAGTTTTAGTTAAAAATTAGACAAGTTTCTTGGATTAATTCGCACACTCATTCTCCATGAATATTGGTCATGCACAAAGCAACACTCCAACACATGATGAATTTCTATGTGTGATACAAGTATGATGAATTCTAACAATATGAGCTTCCCAAATAAACTCGATCAAGTTGTCCTATTGCATCGCCATTAGGTATTTCCCGCTTGAATTGGAAGGACCCTAATCATACAATTCTACCATATATCAAAGACCACGAAGAAAGGTATGTGTCCAATTTTTTTAGCTTAATTCCACTTCTAGTAACTTATATAATCTTGACCATCATGGAACCAAAATGATCAAATCCAAACTTTGGCGAGGATGGAATGCAGTGTAACCACATGAAGACCATGACAGCGATTTAGAAATTACCATAAGTAATGAAGATTCAGTTAGCATTTTTTATCACATGCTTACATTTGAGATGCATATGCTAATACATGCATAATTTGAGTGTTAGTTCCTGAGTCACAGTTTGCCATCCACCAGGTAAAGGAAGACACTTTTAAGACTGAAGTGGCAAAGGAATAACACTGCCTTCCAAAGTAGTGTTCCATCATCATTCTAGGATTCAGAGTCTCAGACAAACTAGCAAAACAAGGCTCATCCAATATAAGTTCAGAACAGGAAATTTTCCATTGCCTCCACTCCTCATAAGCTAAAAGAGATGATGCTTTATTTTTAGCGAACTTATACCAAATGATGGAGTTTGGGTATATTTCAGAAGGGGAAATTTTTTTTGAGATTTGTGGAAAATGCCCCCACTAGTTTCCTGAGCTTTTCCAGTAATGCTGACCGGGTTGTTTTAACTTTTAAAGTGTAATAGCAGAAGCTATTTCCAAATATCAAACAGTAGGACATTTGCTTTGTATTTGACAGTGATAAGCCTTTGAAAATACAGTTCTTCGTCAAAATGGAAAATCAAGATAGCACCAAGATCTGTTGAGAAGAATAAACAAGGGACGGTCCACACAAAATCTCATTTCTATCAGGCTTGTAATTCTATTGCATTTAAAAAGTGAACCATTTCCTCTTTGCTTACAAAAGAAGACATCCCTATCTGTCAGTCAACTAGAATAAGAGACGTTAAACAAGAATAAAAAACCAAATTCATCAACTACTTACTAGTAACACTGACATCCATGGTCTGTCAGTAAGAACAGTTATTTTAGGTACCCTGAAGCTCTAATAACTACCCCTTTCTAGATAACAAACATATTTAGTAACAACCAGATGACTCTTGTGCTCTGTTTGGTTGCCCAGAAGATGTAAGAAAACAAATAAACCGGTACTTAGAGTCCTCCTAAATTCATTCTATTAATTAAACTGAAGCGCAAAACCTCCACATGACTCAGCACAAAAAAAAACAAACCATATCCATTCCGAAACAATATATACGTAAATATAACTATAAGGTAATATTTGAGGATTATACTTCCTTTTTCTTTCCTCAGTTTTCTCATCAACCAAACGAAAGCTTAAAGAAAAAGGAAAAATAAAAGCTCAACAACAGGTGATAAAACAACGATTCACGTACGATTAACCAACTTAAATCGAATCCAATTAAGGTAAAAACCCTAACAAGAAACAAAGCACAACATTTAGCAATCAATCAACAGAACAATACGTGACCAAATTTAATCAAAATTTTAAAACCGAATCACTTTGATTAACAATCACTATAACCTCTATAATTCATCGGTCAAAAAATAAATAAATAAACAAGTAAATAAAGAAAATACCTCGAGTTTTTGCACAGCGACCGGTTCGGACAAACCGGTGATGCTCATGAATGTGTCGATTGCTTCTTGATTGGGTCTCGCCATTTGTGAAGTCCAAATTCGCAGAAGAGATTGGGAATTTGGATTGCTTTCTTGAACTGTTTGGTGTCTTTCTCAGAATGAGAAAGGAGAGAGAGCTATTCCTATTCTTATGTGCAAAATATACGTATGGAATGAAATGTCTTTTTTAAAGGGTTTGGTAAGCCAAATGGACCCATCATAATTAAGGTGAACCCTTTCTCCACTGTTTTGATGTAGGGGAAAGCCTCGTCACCGTTGGATTGTGTGATTGAGATGATCAACGATTAGATCTACGGTGATATCTCTGTTAATTCACTGAAACCGCCTGCATTATAGCACTGCTCGAATTCTACTTGCTTTTGCTTTTGGTTTTTTGGGCACAGTTGGCTTGTCTTGGGGCCTAAGCAGCTCAAAGCACGTCAACATTGTATAATATGATGTACTATATAGAGGACAATATAGAATAAAGACGCTATAGGGTATTCTGGTAATTTGATGAACCACGGCATGCCACATTGGTTGCACAATAAAAAATTGTCCACACATGGAGGGTTTATTTTTGTACTTTGCGCTTATGTGCCAAAATATTCACTCTTTTGGACTTTTTTAAGTACTCCCTTGTCCCTTAATAATAGTCTAATTTCACATTTCACGCTCAATAATTTTTATTATATTTTATTAAGTTGACAAAAGATGCATTTCTAAGTTTGCCCTCCCCTAAAAAGTAGGGTATTGATTTTTATTGGGATCCACTTATTTTTGGGTTTCAAAAGTAGTAATATGAAAAATAGGATCCACTTTCTTTTAGGAGTAAATTAGGAATGTAATAAAAAGTAGTGCATTGATTTTTGAAATGTGACAACTAAAATGGTACAACAAAAAATGAGATAATGGACTATTAATATGGGACGGAGGGAATAATAATTTTATGAACAGTCGTGTCCTATTCCTTCCAAGGTAATACTGATGCAGCATAATGATATAATAATACTTTTTTAATTTAAAATAATATATATATATATATATAATAAACAAATGTCATTTTATTATTATACCACATGGTAGTTCTTTTATGTTTGTAAAATAATGATATCAAAATTGCCTTCACTGAATTATTATTTTTTAGTATTATATATTATTGATTTTTCCTTTTTAAAATTATATACTTGTGAAGTTTTAATATTATCCTATGAAATTACAAAAAATAAAATATCTCATTCCCCCTCCCCAACACATTTTCTTCTGAAATTTTTTGTGTAGTTGCTACTTACTTTCAGAAAAACAAAAATATGAGAGTTTTAATATTGAAAATGAAAATTTAAAGCAAAAATGTTTTTTTTATTGAAATTAATTTCTTACTTGGATATATATATATATATCTGTGTTGTTGCTACTTACCTTCCAAAAAAATAATAAATAATAAATAAAGAGAATGAGAAAAATGATGTCACGTGTGTATCGCGAACTTAAATTTTCACCATTATATGTTTTTATATTGAAAATGAAATTTTAAGGCACGTGTTTCTTTATTGAAATGAATTTCTTACTTTGGATTTTTTTTTTTTTTTGAAGGCAAGTAGCAGCCAGACGTACACACCCATTGCCTCTATGAAGCTTGAAGCCTTGAAAGTGATAAAGTATTACTTGAATGCTGTATAATATGCACTTGACATAATTTAGAACTTGTTTGGTTTGTAATTTTGTTAGCAATTCTCAATAATTCAAATAAAGAAAACAGCTTTTAGAGAATAATAAAAGACAATTATCTGAAAAAGGCCTTTTTATAACTCAATTTTCAAAAAACACTTTTTAAAAAACTGAACAAAACAAATTTTTTTATATAATTTTCTGTTTTCAAAAAACCTAAAAACATAAAATTATTATTAGAGTTACAAACCAAAGTTTTTAATTTTTGATACGAACTTGATTCATGTATCATACCATCTAAAAATTATAATAATAAAATACAACGTATTTGGAGTTTGGACCACATGTGTCCAGTGGTGATTTACGAGATAATCTAAAAGTTCGACACCCTCATTAATGAAAAAAATAATTACATTTCATTTTAATTCTATACTCCATTAAAAAGCCTAAAAAAAAGTATATTTTAGGCATAAGCCTATAGGGTTACTTCTAGTTGCATATAGAGGTTCACGTTGTTTCAAACAAACATCACTCCTACATTATATAAAAGTTGCAGATAAGGCAACGACATTACTATCGTTGTAAAAACAAGATGATAAAATGCATAAAAATAATACTACGTAAACAAATATTGAGAAAAAGAGAAGGACAAAAAAAACAATTAGCATGCTGCAGATTACCCTTGATTCCCTCAAATCCACGACTTCAGGTTGTCATTACTAAATTGCCACTTGTTTGTGTATATAATAATAAAATTAATGTAAATTGCAATTAAAATCAATAAGCCTTCGTATTAAAACAATATTCAAACTATGTAAATTATTCAAATAAAAAATATATATATATTAATTAAACTCTAAGGATAAAATAGATTTGAAGTACGTAATACAAGGAGATAATTATAGATAAAGCAGAGCTCTTAAATTCGATGATAAGGGTAAGTTGGATATTTTATTTTTGGTATAAAATTGGATAATGTTCTACAATGTTGGATTATAAAAATTAAAATATTACTAAATTTTTCATGTTGTTTACCGGGGTGCCGAGTAAATTGGTCAAAGACTAGTAAAGTTGCAAATCGGTTAATAGTTGAGTAAAATTTAAAACGAACCAAATGAGTGAAAGAGAGGTATTCATTTTCTTCTAGGTCATTTTACAAATGATCTCCTAACTGTTCATGTTAATTATGATTTTCTTATTGATGAGAACATAAAGAACTTCCCTTTGGTTACGATGGAGATTCAAGCAAATTGTTTCTCTGATTATTGATCAATAATATTTTTTATTTTGTTAGAAACAACGAATAATCTAATTATTTGAATATCATGTTTCACAAACTATGCAACTCCAGCAGTAATGTGGTGTTGGGAACGTATTTTAAAATATGTGGTCCTTTTTAAAAAGGTTTTTAAATATATTAATTCTATATTTTATAATACAAATAATAAGTTGCTTGGTAAAAGGAGATTTGGGGTTTTTATGTTGCATAAAAAATCTTAGGTGCAAGGCGAACGGGCTATTGGGTTGTCGTTGCCATTGTGCACGAGAACGAATATCAAATTTAAAAGAACACCATATTTGCCAATACAATAACAAACAAAAATATTTGTTAAAGAGTTAATTACAATGACACCCCCTGATGTTTGCTATAATTACAGCTATATATAAGTTAGACCATTTTTTAACGATGACACCCCACTAGGTTTGATAAAGTTAACAAAGACACCCCTTACTAGAATTTTTATTCCAAACAGACCCTTAAAAGGTGAGAAAAGACTAAATTGCCCTTCAATAAAATACTAATTTTTAATTTAAAATATCCAAATCTTCAAATGACAGAATTACCCTTATTAATTCTAATTTTATATCTCTATCCTCTCTCATTGAAAACGAAAATTTTTGCCCCCAAAACCACCACCACCCACCACTGCCACCTCCACCAAACACGACACAGAGAGATTGCAAATGGGTTTAATGAGAATTATTGTATACTATTAATTAATTTCTCTGTGCCTATCCTATGTGTTTCTTCAATTTTGTGGGCAAAAAAAATATATATATATTTCTTGAAAGAATGAACAGGGGCAATAGTGGTAAAGAGAGTGGAGGCTGTGCCGGGCCTTCATCAAAGCATCCACTGGCCGTGAAGACTCGGCGGCGAGCTTGCGAGCAAGATGGAGAGTACGGGTGTGGATGAACTGCGGGCAAAGCGGTGACGGACTAGCTGTGACAGCTTGATGAAGCCGATAGAGACGGGTTGGTTAACTGCGGCGGTGAGCGAAGAGGGATTCTTGGCTTTGATGATGTCCATCGGCGGGCAAGAAGAACTCGGTTGTGGATATCTGCGACCGGCGATGAAAGCGACGGTGAGCTCGGGCAGTGGCTGTGGATCGGTGAGATAGATCTGGATGTCCACCGGCAGGGACTCTTGTGATACCCCCTAATTTCGAAACAATTAAAGTATTTAACAAGCGCAGAATACAAAGATGAATAATAAAGAATAAATAAACCGCTGAAGAAAACTAATAAATAAATATTACTTAATGATTTTCCAACAATTACAACTCGGAAATCCCATAACTCAAGGACCCCTTAAAACATTATCCAATAATCCAATATTATTTAAAAGTACACAAGATGAATAGATGAATAACAGTCTCCCAGCTGCGGATTCTCAACCTCGAGACTGGAACCTCTAATAACCTGAAAAATAAATCGTGGGTTAAACCCTACAAGCAAGTTCACTCTACCAGGCCTCTGAAAACTAATAAGCAGATCATCTCTAATCAAACCCAACCTAATAAATAATTTAACTTTAATATAGCATGATATACATATATATAAATAATTATATATACTACATTAATCACATCCACTAATAGATTTATTAAATTTCCAAACCTATTAAATAATGATTAAAATAACAATCATACCTAGACCAATCCACCATTTCTTTTAAAAAAATAAACTCCTTTAACCTGAATTCCATCCTAATAAGTTGTTTAATCATTTAAACAATAAATTATAATAAAAGAAATACTCTATTTAATCACAACCCGATAATAATTTTAATTGTTTAAATCACATATCCAAAATCCAAGTTTTGACAAATCATCCATGTCTTTCCCAATATTATTTTATTAATATAAAATAATACACTAACCAGTAAGTACTAAACTATTCTCATTTAAGAATATCTAACCCTAATTCAATCCATACATATAACAACCATACATAACAACGTAATTATGCTTTGGCAAATCAATCATGCCATTACAAATATTTTTATTTATATATTGGCAATTCAACCATGCCTCCACAAGTATATTTATTTATACATTGGCAATTCAACTATGCCTCCGTGTATGTATATTTATACATTGGCAATTCAACCATGCCTCCATAGGTATATTTATTCATACATTTAATTAGCAATTCATCCATACTTTTCATATATGTATTCTATTCATACAAATATTTAGGTAATATATTTAATCATTTGA